CGGATGGTCCGGTGACGAACGCCCAGCGTTCCATAAGGGAACGCTCAACGTTCGTGTCACCAGAGGACTTTTGGGCTTTTGGTCTTGGACTTGGTTTTAGGGTCTGGGCTTTCTGTTTTGGGCCATGTGTGGACTAATCTGATTGGATTTCCCATTTTGGGCCTAAGGAGTTGGGGTTGGGCCCAATTTAGAAAATTGGGTCATTAGTGGGCTTGGGAAGTCTACCAAGTATCGGGCCTTTCATGTTATGGTTTTGGGCTTTAGGCATGGACCAAATTAGATCAGGGGTAAAATGGTCATTTTACCCTAAGAAGGATTATTTGGTCTTGACTAAGTGTTATTTTGGTACTGTTAGCTCGGGGAGTTGAAGGATCAGCAGTTCGGGGATTTGCCAGTTAGCAGCCAGAGGATTATCTGGGGGACTTCAGCAGTGTGAGGTGAGTTTCCTCCTGTTTGAACGGGTCGAAGGCACCAATATCGGCCCGTATATATATGTTTATATGTTTTTCGGATTATGATCTGATGTCGGCCGATGCCCGAGGAATGTTTGTTATGCATGAGGTCTTTGTGATTCTTGTATGTGTCGGTAATTGTATGTTTCCGGATTACGATCCGATGTCGGGCGGTGCCCGAGGAATGTTTATATGTATGCTTCTCCGGACTAAGGTCTGATGCCGGGCGGTGCCTAAGGAATGTTTAAATGTGTGTTTCCGGACTACGGTTCGATGTCGGGTGGTACCCGATGACTATGTGCATGTTAGATTATACTTGTTGTCTGCATGATACTTGTATACGCCTGGTAGGGAGGTGAGTGTGGGTGGGGTCCCGTATCTCATCACTAGTTGAGTGTGGACGGGGTTCCATATCTCATCATTAGCAGAGCAGGGGCGGGGCGGGGCCCATGATAGGCGAGGCCTTAGGACTGGAGCAATTAGTAATGTGTATGATTCTTTATGTGCTAGCATGATTATATGATATTGTTTGTATGTGTATAGCAGGCGAGGCCCAGTGACAGGCGGGGCCTGGAGGAAACAGATCTGTATACCGAGCGGGGCTCGATGCCAGGCGGGGCCTGATGCCAGGCAGAGCCTGATGCCGGGCGGGGCCCAAGGAAGGGGCGGGGGCCCAATATATGTTATTATGTGTATGGTATGTGGTAGTATGGGGAACTCACTAAGCTTCGTGCTTACAGTTTTCAGTTTTCGTTGCAGGTACTTCCAGTTGCAAAGAGAAGAGCTCAGGATGACTGCATTGCACACACCATGATGTTTTAGTCTGGGATGTTTACTCTGATGTTTTGATTTGGAAACTCTGATAATAATGCTTTGAGATACTTTGACTTATGTTTTGATGGAATGTTTTGATAACTATGGTTTATTTAATAAGTAAAAATGAAATTTTTGGGACCGTATTTTATGGATGTTACATCTTAAGGTAGTGCATGTTTAAGAAAACATGTATTACAAAGGGCATCTCCAACCATACACAAAAACTTAACTTTACACCATTTTTATATAACTTTTTTAATTAGCAAATGTCATTTTAATAAAATAACATCTATTTTGGATTAGCAATATACAAATAATTAATTTGCTTATAATTTTATAATAAATGTACTTTATCAAGTTTTCACACAAAAAAATATGTATATAAATATGTTAAGAACTAATTAGATTATACTTGTTGTCTGCGTGTATACTTGTTTTGATAATGTTTATATGTATGCTTCTCCGGACTAAGGTCTGATGCCGAGCGGTGCCTAAGGAATGTTTATATGTGTGTTTCCGGACTACAGTTCGATGTCGGGTGGTACCCGATGACTATGTGCATGATAGATTATACTTGTTTTCTGCATGATACTTGTATGCGCCTGGTAGGGAGGTGAGTGTGGGCGGGGTCCCGTATCTCATCACTAGTTGAGTGTGGACGAGGTTCCATATCTCATCATTAGCAGAGCAGGGGCGGGGCGGGGCCCATGATAGGCGAGGCCTTAGGACTGGAGCAATTAGTAATGTGTATGATTCTTTATGTGCTAGCATGATTATATGATATTGTTTGTATGTGTATAGCAGGCGAGGCCCAGTGACAGGCGGGGCCTGGAGGAAACAGATCTGTATACCGAGCGGGGCTCGATGCCAGGCGGGGCCTGATGCCAGGCAGAGCCTGATGCCGGGCGGGGCCCAAGGAAGGGGCGGGGGCCCAGTATATGTTATTATGTGTATGATATGTGGTAGTATGGGGAACTCACTAAGCTCGTGCTTATAGTTTTCAGTTTTGGTTGCAGGTACTTCCAGTTGCAAAGAGAAGAGCTCAGGATGACTGCATTGCACACACCATGATGTTTTAGTCTGGGATGTTTACTCTGATGTTTTGATTTGGAAACTCTGATAATAATGCTTTGAGATACTTTGACTTATGTTTGATGGAATGTTTTGATAACTATGGTTTATTTAATAATTAAAAATGAAATTTTTGGGACCGTATTTTATGGATGTTACATCTTAAGGTAATGCATGTTTAAGAAAACATGTATTACAAAGGGCGTCTCCAACCATACACAAAAACTTAACTTTACACCATTTTTATATAACTTTTTTAATTAGCAAATGTCATTTTAATAAAATAACATCTATTTTGCATTAGCAATATACAAATAATTAATTTGCTTATAATTTTATAATAAATGTACTTTATCAAGTTTTCACACAAAAAAATATGTATATAAATATGTTAAAGAACTAATTAGTTGAATTGTGTGTTTGACAAATTTATATAAGTTCAAATATATATATATATATATATATATATATATATATATATATATATATATATATATATAGTTTGAAATAGGGTGCTACTATATGTATTCTCCCTCACTCACATAACAAGCACTATTATACTCACATGAAGGGGGGGGGGGTGGTACACAAAATAATTCTTTTTTCTTTTTTTGTTGTGTACGAATTATTTCCCTTTAATTAAGGGAGGTGATTTGTATACAACAAAAATTCTCCATACACAACAATTTGTGCTTGAAAATATTGTATTGTACAACTCTATTAAACATAAAATATTGTGTACGGATAAAAACTGTTATGCTCGAGAGATAGTTGTCCATACACTGATAAGGGATGTACGGTTTCTTTAATCTCAATAGGTTTGTAAATGGTTTGGGTGTCCATTTCACATCTATAAGGATGTCCACAAAAAATATATAATATAACAACAAAATATTTCGTCCAATTGAAGGGATGTCCATTGACACCCTTCATTACACACTAGCATCGTCCTTGACTTCAAGCGCATAAAAACTAGTTTTGCAAAGTGTTAAGTATAATTGTTGCTTGCAAATGATTTTATCATGAACATGTGCATTCATACTAATAATATAGATGTATGGACATTCGATAATGGGGATCGTTTCCCTATTAAAAACTAGATGTAGACTTATCGATAATGATAAAACTTTCCCTTTTATAATTTAGATGTGGGATTTTTTGACAATTAAGAACATTTTTCTTTTTATAAGCTAGATGTGGGCTACAATAGGAACTCTATCTCTTTTTATATAAGTTTGATTAGAGACGTTTATTGGTGGTCTTGAACCGGTTTCGGGTCACACTCGAACAATCCAGTCTTTTTTTGGACCGGTCTTTTTTCCGTCCGAACTTGTTTTAGATTGGTTCGGTCTTGTTCTTTTTTCGGGTCCGATCCAAAACTGTTTTTTTGTTCATGTCTAAGTTAGATGTTTGCTTATTGAACAATAGAAACACACTTCCCATTTAATAAGCTAGACATGGGCTTATTTTACCAAGAGAACACCTTCCCTTTTTGACAATCTACATGTAGGTTTGATCCTAAACTTTTTCCTACGTTGTAAACTTGTAAACGGGGTTTGCAAGTTCCAACGTGACTAAGAGTTATATACATAATTACACATGTGACATAATAGCAAACGTTTATAGTTCGTGATTTAATAATAATAATAATAATAATAATAATAACTAGAAAGGTTACCCCCGCTACGCGGGGGCCAGAAGCTTTCAATGTTGTTTCCGAATTGATAAATATGACAGACATAGAAAGTACAAGGATGAAAAGTCCGAGTTTGCCCCGGACAAAAAATGTAAAAGTTTTGACTGCAAGGACCAGAAGTATGAAAATGGCTAAAGAATTAAAGGGGTAGGAATTAACAACTTTTTAGAAAAGGGATCAAAGTTGTCAAACCGTTAAAGTTTTGTGGCCAAACTTTAAATATTAAAAGGTTCCAAAAAAGTGTAAAAATATTGATTGCAAGGACGAAAAGTGTCAAAATGGGTAAAGAATAATGAGCAAAGTTGCCAAAAAAACATCCAAATTTAGTTTTCCTAACTTCCAACAGGGACCAATTATGTCAAAAAAATGGGAAGTTGAATGAAACACAAACAAAAGGACATAAATAAATTAATTAAAGAAGTACAGGGACCGGATATGTAAATCAAGGGACCAAACCTAGACAAAGTATGTTCACTATTCCTTTCTTCCACAACTTTAATATATATATATATATATATATATATATATATATATATATATATATATATAATAATAAATCAAACGGATGGAAAGTGGGGGTGAAAAACTTGTCCCCGCTGTTGGGTAGGGCCGACTAAACACATCCAAACATATAAAATAATTTACTCCTTTTTATTTCCCAATTTGTTGTTGTCCAACATGTGTGACTGCCTCCTCTAGATAACATGTATATTTTTTTTAAGTGAACGAAGCAATGCATATGTTTATCAAGTTGAAAATGGACCAAACAAGAAAAGAACAAAAAAATAATAATAATACATATGTTTATCAATTTTAACCACTAGTATATGTAATAATACTCCAATTAGTTAAGCATTTTTGGTTTCTATCAAGAAACATAAATTTTTATCAGAGATAAATTCAGGACACCCTTTTGTCCCTTACCCTATGCTTTTCTCTGTAGAAACAACAATATATATCTAAGAACCGAATTATAAGTACCTATTCAGTGTTGAGATTTTTTACAAAATGGTTATAGTTAAAACACACATAAAAAAAATGAAATGGATATATGATCTATATATCCAACAAATATACTTCTCTGCTTGCGTCCTATATACTAACAATGACAGCCGATCTGATCATTAAATTACAATCTGAATGAATCTTTATTGCGTCTTACCCCAGGCATGTAAGTTTCTTATTGCAAAACATGTTCCTGCACTCCCAACAAAACCAAGTACTAGTTAGCTCAAATTATGATCACATAATGAGGTTCAAAACAGAGGCAAATGGCACAAAAGACACTGTGTTTCCATTTTTTTTTATTTTTTTTTCCGATTTTGACACTATTATTTTTTGGTAGGTTGTAAAAAGTTGAAGAAACTAACACAAAACATCCTGGTCGTGGCTTTTTCTTCTCTTTTGGTGGTTGTTGTGGCTTGATCACTACTCTTATCGCGGCATCAAACACGGATTTTACATTCTGTTGTCAATAGAATGAATGATTAAAAAAACAAAAAGATAATCATTAAAATAACGAAATTTATTGAAAATTTTCATGCCTGTTGAGTTTTTGAGCTGCATTCGATGTAATATGCAGCGCCCATTTGTTTACGAAGCTCCTCTCCCTGATGATTATGCAAAATTTATAATTCGAATATTAATTTGCTAAAGCATCAGAAAATGTACCTGTGCGGTTGTTATGGGGACTAGTCCTGGGTGATCTGCTAAATATCGTTTATCCTCACGAAGATCTAAAAATAAATGAAAAAACAAATTATGAATTTTCGTACATGTTTTTTGTAAAGAAACTAGTTGTGAGTATTGTAAATAAAGCAAATTACCGAGTTTGGTTCCAGCTAGAACAACTGGGACTCCGGGAGCAAAATGTTGAAGCTCAGGGATCCACTACTCAAGTAATGAAGCATAAAAAATCACATACTGATTACAGATTACAAACAGAACATGACATGACATGTCATGTCAAAATAAACAACATTTTACTGTGTTTGACATGCATTGGATTGGACTAAGACAAAAGCTATAATTTTTGTCCCACTCAAAAAGGTGGGACATGGACTAGCTTTTGTCATCTAGAAAGAATGTTCAGTCCAGTCCAATCCAACCTAGGGTAACAAAAGCAGATTGAAGTGAAAATTGAGTTTTTGACATTTGAGTAAAAGCACCTTTTTAAGTACGTTTTCATAGCTGGCTCGACTGACCAATGAAAAGGCTAGAACGAAGACATCGGCTCCTCGATAACTCAAGGGTCTTAATCGGTTGTAATCCTCTTGTCCTAATTATATAAATTCATGAAGCAAACATTTACGAAATTAAGAACAACATACAATGACATGATAATTTAATAGTTTTGAGTCTGAATAAATGCTTACCAGCTGTATCCCAGAGGCCTAAATTTACTGTGGTGCTTTCAACTACAACATTTGCACTGAAGTTATCAAATACAGTTGGTACGTAGTCCTGGTTATGTTAACATCAAATCATTATTAGGATTACTTGATATTATTAAAATAACACAATTGTATATTTTTACATATTTGCAAGTATGATAATTGTTTCGAAAGAAATGAGTAGCATCTTTATCATTACACTTCCTATTAGATAATATAAAAGGGTGTTTATGTGTTAGGCTGTTAGCAAGCTTCATTATTGTAATTTAAAATGATACCAATCATTTTATATTGTTTGAAAGTTGAAATTTGATTATGATATTCCAACTACAGTCAATATGATAATGGATGTTTATTCGTTCCAAGCTTTGATCACTACGATTTAGTAATAACCAATTTTGCTAGTGACGCAAATTAAATTTCGAATTTAATATTTTCAGATTTCATATAATTAATTTTCCAGAGTTTTGAAAAAACAGGCAAGGATTTGTTTCAACAAGATTAATTTAGGAGGAATCGATGACTAGTTAACCATCTATGACTTTAATCACTTTGTTAATGCTTAATCCTTTTCTTCACAATAATCATATTAAAAAAAAAATACCCCTTTTCAATAAATTACTGGGAAATTATAAAGATCGTTGAGTTCTTGGATTGTGTGCCAAGATAACTGACAGTGTGTAACCCTAAGTAAATAGGGGTCCAATTAGTTTAATCAGTTGAGATTTACTTCAAATAAAGTGCTAATCTTGATTCTTGGGTCTAAATCTTGATTAAATGGTGTATAAAGTTTCACCTTTTTTCGATTCTTTATGGTAAAAACAAGATAACCCATATGCAAAAAAACTGAAAAAGGCCAATTCACTAGACTACAAAGTCAAGAAAGATGAAACCAAAGCAAAAGTAGCAAGAAATCATGACAGAAAGACAGACAATCAATCATACACAGAACCCTAAGTGAAAAGAATCTTGAAAAAAGCTGCAAAATTAAGAAAAACCCAGATGGAAATCAGTTAAAAGAAACCCAATAATCTGACTTACAGTAGGGAATTTGTTGCTGGTGTAGCAAATAAGCATACAAGTCTTGCCAACAGCACCATCACCAACAGTCACACACTTGATGAACCTTGAAGCACTTGCAGCCATGGAACATGAACACAAGAAAAATCCAATTAAGAAACGAGAATCCGATGAGAGAAAGAATAAAGAAATGAATATACAGATGGAAATCGAAGAGGGGTTTTTGTGTGTGTTTACTTTAATGGTTGTATGTGTCTGTGTGTTTTGGTATTGTGAAAGAAAGACAAAAGGTGAGAGCCTAAATAGGGTCACATGATTTCACACTCCTTTACACCAACCGTTACTTCCATCCTTTAGTTACATTTACAAAATTAGAAATAATAATGGTTGAAACTTGAAATTTCAATATCTTTTCGGTGGTTGTAAAGAAAAAAAAGGAAAAAAGTAAAAGTAAAAGATGGGAACTCATATATTACGGTAAATGTAAAAATGTCACTCTAGCCCAACTATATTAGATCTATTTGGGTTTAAATGGTCCCCTTTTGTTTTTGTTTTTGTTGTTAAAGGATACGAATTGTTATTTTACCTGTTCTTAAAAACATTATGTAGAAAATGAAGGGGTAAGCCGGTTAACCTTGTCCTAGTCACCCACTTTTAAGTCACACGTCACTTAAATTTATGCCACCGTTGCCACCACCGTTGCCACACATACATTATCAATAATTGAGCTTGCCCGACATGATCTTTTCTAAAGAATGTGTTCCCCCGTCGCTGTCTACTTCCCCTTTTTGTCTTACCGTTCATCTAAAAAATCTCAAATATGGCCGTCTATATGAAGATCGATCTTCATTTTGCTGGTATTTTACAAAGTACCCCGTAATTAGTTACGCAGATGGTGCGGAACAAAGGTTCAACGATATCGATTTTGCTGGAATGAACAAGAAAGAGTTTGTGGTGTTCCTTGAAAGATTCGAAAACGAGAGGTGTGTGAATGTTTACTTTTGCATGCCCGATATTGAGTTTCTGTTGTTGGATTAGGTGTCTAAACCAATAATTGAATTAATATATACTTGAATTATTAGCTAAGTTCTTTTGGGTTGCCCTCAAACCTAGTAATTGAATATGATGACTTTTAGAGAGAGAGAGAGACAAGGGCTGAATTAATAAATAGCAATAAATGAATTTATTGATTTATTATATGGTTAATAAATAGCAATAAATGAATTTATTAATATGTTATGAAAATAATATATTAATTAAAATAGTATTATTTAATTAATAATTAATCAGAGTTAATTGGAATTAATTTATGGATTAATTGGATTAGTTAAAAGTGCAAGGGCTGAAGTGTAATTGTTCAGTAGTTGAACAATTTAGGGTTCCAGAACCTTCCTTGGAAGGGTGGACGAAATTAGGGATATTCAAGAGTTTATGGAATATTCCCTATAGATAAATAAGAAGCTCGATAATTACCAATTTTAATTAATATTATTTTATTCAAATTAGGGTTATCTACGGTTTCCTAAATCCACTATATAAAGACCCCTTAGCCTATGATTTTCATCAATCTCTTTATTCCTACGGATAACGAAAATTTCTCCATCCCCTATCCTATCTCTTTAAGCCTCCTTGTTGCTAGGGTTGGGTGTGAACCATCTGAGGCACGAGATTTCTGTTGCTAGCTTCCAAGTAACTTCAAGCAGGATTATGATTGATTTTCTACTAGTATAATCAAGAGGTATGTAATTCTAAACCCTTTTGCTATTTTCAAAATACCTAGGGTTCTTATATGGTTCTTGATATTCAATTGGTTATTGTATTCAATAGTGAAAACATAGATCCTTAAGGTTGCATGCGAACTTAGGGTTTAAGTTTTTCTGCCAAAATATGATTTTTGTAACCTATAAATCTCATCAGTGGTATCAAAGCAGTTGTTTTCAATTGAATATGCATAATAGTTGAATAGATCAAGATTAGGGTTTATAGAAATTAAACCCTAAAGGATGCAAATTTCGACTTGGGTAGGGTTCTTGAAACCCTAGCCTCTACCCTTTAATTTCAAAATTTCTGGGATTTCCTAGGGTTTTCTTATTTGATAATTATTACTTTTAAAGTGTTTAAAATAGGATAATTAGAACTGGATAACCCCTTATCCCTTGATTTTCGAAAATTTAGATGGAAAATGATTAGGACTAAATTAAATTTATTTGATTAATAGTTAATGGTAAATAATTATTTAACCCTCATAAGATTTAAATTAATTTAATTAATTGTGAATTAAAATATAAAGATTAAATGTTAATTGGTTTAGTTTAAATTGAATTAATTCTTTTAATTTTGAAAAAAATTAAATTAAACCTAGTATTTTAGAAAAGTTTTTAAAATACACCTTTTATATATATATATATATATATATATATATATATATATATCTATATATATATATATATATCTATATATATAATATTATAAGTTAATTCATATATGTATAAGATTAAGGCAGTCGGAAACTAGTATGCTTCATTCACGAAGCTGAACTATAAAGGATGTATAAGGAAACTGCCTATAAAATGGTAATTGAATGGGTGTCCACTCTCACCCACCGCTTCCTTATTTGGTGGAGGGTCGTTAGCAGAATGGGTCTGATAGAATATTAACTTCATTAAAAGTATAATGCTATTAAAGTACTAGAACTAATTTATTAAATCTCAATCTAGTTACTTTAGGAAAAATGTGAATTTGTATGCTAATCCATGAAATTGCACATTATGCTTTATATGTCATTAGTGGAGCATGTGTGGTTAACCGACACACTAATAGGGTCTATAAAGAGTAATAATGGGCATCTCAAGAATTATTATTGTTGATAGAGCCTGTGTGGTTTACCGACACATCAATATGAGATGATAAATGTCATCGAGGTTGTCAAACATATTTGCATGGTTATTCACATCTTGTTTGTGATCCTCGATATCTCAGTCACAAATAGAAGAGCATAATCTGAAATTAAACATGACATTGATAGATTCAATGAATCTCAAAAGATATACGAATTTCATTTTGATTGAAATTGGTAAATTGCTTTTACCTATCTTCATAAAAATTTACAATTAGATTACGGCATTTGTTCTAGATTATGAATTGCATAACTGAGTCCTAGCCTTAATTATTTATTATGGGTTAAAATATTAAGGATTATTGTCGTGTAACTAAAACTACTTTTTCGCAGATGATGCTTCTGCTCTTTCGTCGTCTACCCACCACTCGGGTTTCTCCCTACTCTCGATTGTGTCCAAGGTGACATTTGATGGAACCAACTGCAATGAATGGATGCGTAATATCAAGATGGCTCTTCGATTCGAGGGCAAAGAGTATGTCCTTGAAGAAAAACTTGTTGAAATCGATGAAGCCACTACTACTCCAGAACAACTAGCCTCCTACAAGAAACACTACGACGATGCAACAAACGTTTCTTGCATCATGGTCGCTACTATGACCCCCAAATTGTAGAGGTTCTATGAGGACTATTGGCCATATGAGATTAATAATGACCTTGTGGAAAAGTACCACAAGAGAGCTCGTCAAGAGATATATTAAGTGGTCAAAGCTCTCATGGTTTGCAAGATGAAAGAGGGAGAGTCTATGTGCAACCGCGTGCAAAGAATGCAAAAATATGTGGAACGCCTTGTTAGGCTCAATGTAAATTTCGATTAGGAGTTGGCTATTGACATGGTCTTAAACTCCTTGCCAAGTGGTTATGATTGGTTCATTTTGGCTTATCGTTTGAACAACACAGAAACCACATTAGCCCAACTCCATAACTTGTTATAGATTGCCGAGTCAGGAATGAAGGGAAAAAATCTAGCCCCTTCCACTAATGCTCTCGTTCCCTCCATTGGGCAAAACAAAGGGGTGAAAAGGAAGGCTTTTCCCAGAGCTAACTGGAAGGGCAAGGCCCATGTTGGGTCATCTAACCATGACCCAAAAGCGAGGCATACTTCATACATTCTAGTTGTTAGTGATCCCAAAGAGGCCACTTGCTACTATTGCAATGAAAAGGGCCATTGGAAGCGGAGTTGCCCCAAGTACTTGCAAGACATCAAATATGGAAAGGTGAAGCCATCGTTAGCAGGTATATACATTATTCAAACTAATAACTCACAATATACTAGTTCTTGGGTCCTTGATATAGGATGTGGTTTTCACATTTGTTCTGATTTGCAGGGACTAAAGGAAAGTGAAGAGGTGGAGCATGGACGGATGAATCTGATCATGGGAAATAGGCGATCTTCTCCTGTTACCAAGATTGGAACTTATCAGCTTGTGCTTAGTGGTGATGTTAGACTTAGTTTAATTGATTGTTGCTATTCATCAGAAATAACGTGAAACATTATTTATTTTCATGCATTGTTCATACAAGGTTTTCATTATTCGTTTAATGATATGAATGATTCAATTTTAGCATATAAAAATGGTGTTTTTATATTTTAAGCTTTACCTTGTAATGGTGTGTATGAAACTATGACTTGTGTTGATAGCTTAGGCAATAATGTATTTCACATTAATTCGTCTAATGGTTTAGAAAATGCATGATTGTGGAATTGTCGTCTTGGGCACATTAATAAGAAATGCATCGCCCAACTCCAAAAGATGGAGTCTGTTGAGTTTTTTTTTTCAAAAACTAGTTTCAAAAACAAGAAATTTAGCAACGGAAGACTTAATGATTTGAATAACATAAAACAAGTTTATAACCCACCAAGGATCTTCTTGCAACTTGTAGAAAGATTTAAACACAACCAAAGAAGAAGATGAAGAAATCACAACCTTTTTAGTTCTTTGAATCCTCTTGGGAGGCTTGGAAGTTGATGAAGAATGATGAACCTAAGAGATACCAACAATAACTCAACTTGATGTAGAATGCTAGTTCTTTTGTATAAAACTCTTAAGACTCTTAAGCTTTATGTTCTTATCAAAATAAGAACATAAAGAGAGCATAAAGATGCAAATAATCTTCAAGACTTTTGAGGATAAGAGAGAGAACCCACATGCACAAGCATGTTACGGTTTTCATGCATGAAGTGTAAAGAATGAAAGCCTTTTTCTCATTCATATAACATACACAATATTCATGAGTCTTTAACCATTAAGCACCCATGCTTCTACTAGCTAGATTTTCCCCCCATGATTCTTAAGACAAGCCATACCTTTTTATTTAAATAATCAAAAGGCATGTCTTCCTTTTTGTCTAGCCAAATTTCAAAAATAGGAACAAAGAAGAGGACAAAAGCTTTTATATTTTATAAACCAAGTTTATAAAATATAAACTATAACTTTGTGGTAAAAGACAAAAGAATTTATCTAGTCTAAAATGTTGTGCATGACTTATTAATTCATACCATATGAATTATGTAATATTACTTGCTAATGAAAAATAATTATTTCCGAGAAATAAATAATCTTCAATTTAATTTTTAGAGTTTATTGAATATTTATTAAAATCAATTTCTAATAAACAATCAATTATATCAAGTTGTTGTTAGTGTGGCCCATTAGTATCATATATTAATTAGCAATATCACTTTAATATGATTCATGAGTATACTAGATCCTTTAATCTCCCACTTGCGCAAGACTCATATTAGACTGATATAGACAGTGGTGAATGTCTAACAACATTTCATTGCCCCCATCAACATACGACTTTGTGCAATTCTATCAACGCCCAATACCGAAAAAGCTCTAAGTTACAATTGGTGTATATAAGGTAAGTTTATAAGTTATCCCTTTGTTGTTGGATAAGGTGT